AAAGTCTCCTGTGAGGGGTAGGTTTAGGGGTAGGGTTGGTGTAGGGCAATAGAATATACGGTCTGTACAGTATAACAACCATTACACCTATGGAGAGTCTCACAAAATCACAAAAACAAACCTGTGTGTGTGTGTGAGTGTGAGAGAGAGTGTGTTTGTGTCAGGTGAGTGAGAGAGTGTGTGTGTGTGTGTGAGAGAGAGAGAGAGTGTGTGTGTGTGTGTGTGTGTCTTCTGCCTTTCTAAAAATAGTGCTCAAGGTGTTTTTTCTGTGCATTTCTTGAAATTAATCAGTGTTGACCAGTAATTGTTAAAATGCTTTGAAACCTGTTAAAAATATATTTTGAAGAGCTTAAAGAGCAAATAACTGGACAAATAGACAAAGCATTGCCATGAATTTGTGCAAATAGCATTAAAAATTTATTATTTTTTGCCATGTTCAGTTTTTTATCATTTAGCTCATGTTAAATACACCTGATTCCAGGAACTGTGGAGGACTGAGAACGGATAGACGTCAATACATACAGTTCACTCGCATTAAAAGAGTAAGAAAGACAATAAAGGGAAAAAGCTCATAGTGAATGAATGAAAGAATGAACAGACGCTCTTCTTCAGCTCTGCTCTGCTGTGTTTCTGAGGAACAGAGTCGTGTCAGAGTTCGGTCGCTGGGTCCGAGAGTCGCCCGTGACCGGCTGCAGTAAAGCTCTCCTGATCCTCTTTGGTCTTCAACACACGTCAGAAACCCAAATCTACTGATATAAGAGCAGCTCCTTGTGCAGAGGAATTACTGCAGATTACAAAACCCTGGAGAATTTCTAATCCTAAACGTGAATGTTAATTAGCCTCCGCTTCGAGATCTGAGCTGGAGAATAAGAAGATCTGTGAACTGTGTTCCTTGAGCAACAGACCGAACCTGTAATAAGTGAACGTGGTTTTGAATAAAAGCATCTGCATAAATGAGCATTCGAACTCCTAACTAACACACACAGAGGAATCAGGGCATTTACTGAGTCAGATGACTGTTTGTGAAGGAAACCAGCTAAACCAGTGAAGATGACCATCTGCAAGCCAATCCTTGATCAGAGATTCTAGTGGAGTTCATTCACCTTCATCAGTCCCCTTCTGAGCCCCTAAAGAACCAGTGACAAACTGTCTTGTGCCTCACAGTTTATTCTGTGGATTAACAATGAAAAGCCCTTTTGTTTTTAGCAGTTCATTCACTGGTCTCAAGCTTTGGTTACTTTTACACATGAATAGTGGATTCTCATGCACTGATCAACAGCAACAGTAAGGCAAGAACAATTAAATGGTGAAATGGTGTCCTGAATGAACTGTGTAAGTCATCTCTCACACTCCAGGAAACTGAAATAAGGCTTCATATGTCAGTCTTCAATAATTCTGGACAAATATCTCCAAATGTGTTAGGCACTGATTTGACATATACAGTGAATTACAGTCACATCACGTGTCAACTCTTGCAGACTCGTCTGAATACAACAATACATGGCTAAAGCTCTTTCACTATTTCTTTTTGTCTCCAGACTTCTGCCCGGTGAGGAACTGCCAGACTCCTTCGCGGTAGAACTCGTTACCGAACGCGAACAGGACGGCGTGGAAGATCGGAGACGTCTTCGCCAGCACCGGGAGGACCTAGAGGATCAGACGACCGTCATCAACACTGAGATCAACACGAGAACAATGATTTATCAAGCTAATGAAAGATTTTAAAGTGTTTGTTTTCTAACCATTCTGAGCTTTGGTGAAACGAGGTTAACGTTCTCGAAGCAGGCATATGTGCACATCAGAACATACGGACCCCAGCAGAACAGCAGCGCTTTCAGAGGTAAACCTGTGTTAAACTGAGAGGAGAAGCACTGACACAAGACACCAACACACACCATTCACTGCTCAAACCATGCTTTTATCTACAACATCACGAAAAAACAGACCAGAAATCTGACGCTTGCATTACTTAAAGGCACAATATGTAATTTAACGCCGCTAGAGGGCGCGTATTCAAAACAAACAAAGAAACAAAGGCCACAGTCGAGCGCTTCCGCTGCTTCCGGTCGTGCGTATGTGGGGTAAAGCAGCAGAGCTTTTATTATGCCACAGTCGAGCGCTTCCGCTGCTTCCGGTCGTGCGTATGTGGGGTAAAGCAGCAGAGCTTTTATTATGCCACAGTCGAGCGCTTCCGCTGCTTCCGGTCGTGCGTATGTGGGGTAAAGCAGCAGAGCTTTTATTATGCCACAGTCGAGCGCTTCCGCTGCTTCCGGTCGTGCGTATGTGGGGTAAAGCAGCAGAGCTTTTATTATGCCACAGTCGAGCGCTTCCGCTGCTTCCGGTCGTGCGTATGTGGGGTAAAGCAGCAGAGCTTTTATTATGCCACAGTCGAGCGCTTCCGCTGCTTCCGGTCGTGCGTATGTGGGGTAAAGCAGCAGAGCTTTTATTATGCCACAGTCGAGCGCTTCCGCTGCTTCCGGTCGTGCGTATGTGGGGTAAAGCAGCAGAGCTTTTATTATGCCACAGTCGAGCGCTTCCGCTGCTTCCGGTCGTGCGTATGTGGGGTAAAGCAGCAGAGCTTTTATTATGCCACAGTCGAGCGCTTCCGCTGCTTCCGGTCGTGCGTATGTGGGGTAAAGCAGCAGAGCTTTTATTATGCCACAGTCGAGCGCTTCCGCTGCTTCCGGTCGTGCGTATGTGGGGTAAAGCAGCAGAGCTTTTATTATGCCACAGTCGAGCGCTTCCGCTGCTTCCGGTCGTGCGTGTGTGGGGTAAAGCGGCTCTGTTTTATCATACTAGATACATTTAGTTCTGTTATAATGCTACTCTGTGCGCTCGTCACCGGTCTATTAAAACACACAACATATTAAAGCGTCTTTGCTGTTTCCATGTTTTCTACAAAACAAAACTCGGAAATCGAGGGGTTATGACGTCATCGGCAGGCGACACAATGACACTATAGACATGGTCTGTGCTTCTAGTTAAAATTGCTTATTTCTCTGGATTTAAACATTCTTTGAAACATTTGGAATAATGTAAGTACACAAGTCAGCAAAATATATAACACTGTTCTAGTGATTTTTGGATATTTTAATAAAAAAATCTTACATATTGTGCCTTTAATGCAAGCAGGGGATCTTAAAGCACACAGAATGCTGAGCATGTGGCTGATCTATGGATGATTCATGTCATTCTCACGGCAGATAAATGTCAGAGACGTGCCTCTCTTCTGCATGTACAGAGTTAAACACAGCGTCATTACAGCCCACTGGTTTAGTTTGCTGCACAAAACGCATCACTGATTATATTCGGGTTATAAAAATTGATAATTGAAATTTACAACATCATAGGGGACAGCAATTACTTAAAATGATCAATTATACACATATATACTAAATGAATTTAAAATATGATTTTTAAAAAATGTTTTTTTATGAAAAATGCAACGTGAAATCATACTAGGTGACAGCAAAGTTCCTACAAATCAAGATACGTTGTGTCTAATTGGAGCGTATGTTGACTAAGGAGAGTGCGAGTACCTTAAAATGGTGCGTCTTTTTGAAATAAGCATAGATGGCATTGTAGGAGGACTGTAAAACCATAACAGGGAATGCTAAATACAGTACAGTGATGGACAGCATGTAGGTGATGTAACTCCTGAAGAAGACAGAGAAGAAAACTACGTATTACTCTTGCATGCAAATTCACATCATGATATTCAAAATCATCAGTAGTCATGTCCAGGCAGGACAGACATTATTGTTTGTCCATATTTTCTTAACATGATTTCTGATTAGTAATGTGCTGTAGTTTTTGATTTGAGTTGCGTGAGCTATGAAACAGAAACTAGAGCGAAGTCTGTTTGTGTTCTCATGTGTGAGATGGACGCACCGGTCTCCTTGTGTGTAGTCCAGCGTACAGCATGTTTTCATCGGCTCAAAGTCAAAGACGCCCCATCCGATGGCCGGCAGCGGCAGAGCGGCCCAGAACACAGCCAGGATCCAGATGATGGTGCTGATGGTCACAGACGTGCTCCAGAACATCTTCTGCTCTGAAAACAAACACAATTAACTCATCGATTTACAGCCGGTCAGTTGAGACAGTGCAGGAAAGCTGTATTAAAATGACGATAAAACCCACTAAACCCAGGAAAACTACTGAAGAATTGAATGCAAGCCTTACAGAAACAAGAGTACCACTAATGTCTTGCATGTCAATACTGAACAATAATAAAGTAACATTTTATGGATGGCAGATGCTCTCCGTTTATACTCACTAGTACAGTACTGATGATATCTGTCCCAAGCAATGGCAGCCAGAAAACTGATGCCGGCGAGGATCGACACCATTCCCTGAAAAGCGTGCATCTGACAGCCCTCCGACCCAAACGGCCAGTATCTTCCAGAGTTCAGCAAAAACACAAATATACACAGGTGTTTGAATATTTATATATACGTGTGATATTTTCATATTAAAACTATATGTTCTTCTGTGTCTAGCGGTTGTATTTCTTTTCTTTCTTTCAAACTTTTGTTTCAAGTCAAATTCCTTGTCTACAATAACACCAATAAGTTATGTGAGAAATAGTCATAACATTTTTATTTATTTTTGTCATATCTTTTCACACAATTTTAGAAGTTGCTATTTTCCAAATTTCAGAAGCAAGTGTTCAATTTGGAAAGATTCGGTTCTGGATTCTTCAATTTGGAAAGATTCTGTTCTGGATTTATACTATAGTTTAGCTGGTTAGTCTCACCTCAGGTAACTAGCGTAAGCAGCCACTAAACCGTTAATGTTGAGGCTCAGATCAGCCACAGCCAGGTTAAAGATGAAGAAGTTATTGGGCGTCTGCATCTCCCGGATTCTGAGGAACGCCATCACCGAGATAAAGTTAAGAAAGAAACCGAGAAGACCTAGAAGAAAATATTCAGATATTCAGACTGTACAGAATTCATAACACTGTGCACCGTATACAAAGAGCAATCATAACAAAACAATATATAATGCTGTTAGAAGAATTACCATGTCCACAGTAACAAGTATCAATAAGCACCACTGTGATCAGATCAGATGCCATCACTGTATGATCATTACACCACGGAACTGACTGTTTTGTTTTGTCTTTTTCTAATCCAGAAACTATTTACGAAGCTTTCTATAGATCAATAAGAGCAGCCCTCATTAATCGATAGAACAGCCTTCACTAATCACAGACATAAATAACTTTTGCATGTTTGTCAATACATTCATCATTGAAGAACAATCCAGCACTGATGAATGGATGGACTGATTGATTGATTGATTGATTGATTATCAGTAGCACTCACCGCCCACCAGCAGCGCGGAGCCGAAGGCGAACATGTCGAAGTCACTGAATCCCTCCGGTAACGTGTATGAAGCCATTGTCCAAGATACTTCTCACTGCTGACCACTGCGCTACAGTGCGAGACTTTATATGTGTGTTTATTCCTTATGAAAGCACGTGTGTGATTTAAAGCCTAGTCTGAAATCCCCGCAAGAATGTTTTAATACCACAAAAGTTTGTGAAATCAGATCTGCAGCGCTCGCTCGCCTCAGTCCTGCGTCTGAACTGTGCATTACAAGCAGATCACAGTCCTCCATATACAACTCTCTCTGGCTTTACTGATGCTTTAAAAAAACAAACGCTTATACAACAATGAAATATAATGCTGCAGCTGCAAAATATTTTGCAATAAATGATCAGAATATATTAACTACATATTATACAAAAGTGTTGTTGTCATGATAAAGTTTTTGGAAAGGAGTGCAATTGCAATTCCACTGCCAGCTAATCCAAAATTCACAATGTTTGTAAATGAAATGTTTGTGTCCTTCATAAAAAATAGTGGGAAATTAATTATAATTGGTTGTCCCGTTCTTCTTAAAACACATTGATTTAAATACCTTTTATTGTGTTATGTTTGAAAACTTTATATTGTGAATGAAATGAAATCGTAGCCATGACAATAGAAGCGACAACAAAGTAACATCACAAAATGTTTGAGGTATAATGTGGTGATCTGACTACACTGGGCTCCAGCGCAAAAGGCTGTAATTAGGAAACAAATTCTTATATCTCAGCTTTCAGATGTTAATGCCATTGGGAAATAACATACGTACACTTCAGTGAAATGTGTTCACTGTAATCTCTCTAAATTCTTTTGGCTGACTCTTTCTAAAGAGCGCAGAACAAAACATTTCAGAGCAGCATATGTGCTTTCTCCTCAGGATGAATTGCTGGTGTTGTGGTTTCCCCAGTTCCTTTGAGAGAAGTGTCTATTAAATTAATATATTAAAATATACAGTTCTGAATGAGCCTGAGAATTCATTAAGTTTGAAAGTGAGTTTATTCATAGACTGAATAATTGGTGTGGATATCCATTATGAACTCTGAGCCTCATATCCTTTATCTTGACACTGGACAAAATGTGACATTGGATAGTGGAACAAACATATATTTGTTATAATATAGTAATATGTTTGTATGTAGTATACAAAATATAGGCTAATATATTTTGAATAAACACACACAAATATCTGTAGGCTACTTTAGTCTGAGATGAAGACTTTTGCTCTGTACTGCCACCAGGTGTTTTAAATGCATATTCACTCTGATTTTAATATGTTAAAAGTATCACCATCTGCTTTTTTTGCTTTAATCATATAGGCATTATAGACCAAACAGACAATAAGGATAATAATATTAGGTAACCACTATTAATATGTGAGTAAAGTTGATGCAATAGTAAAGATATTATACCTGAAAAAATTCATATTTTTATAAATTTAAACATACTTTCATATTATTATAAATTTAATGCATCATAAACACTGTGTTTTATGCTAAATTCCTGCCTTTGCTCATTACTGAATCAATTGTAGTTTTGATGTCTTTGTATGTCAAGTCAAAGGTCAAACTAACAACACTGATCTTTTTTGCATGAATAAATTAACCTATAGTGTGCTGGGTTTCCATTTCTATGTCTGTTATAACATTTTCAATTGAAATAATCTTCAAAAAGACACATCACAAAAAAAGCAACATTTCCTCAACACTCTATAGATTTACTCAGTATGTCTACTGAAAATAGAGCAAAACAAAGCCATTCACCAATAAGATGCTGTGAATTCACAAACTGTTGTCCAATCCCAGGTCTAAAATTAACTCTCCAATCAAAAAAAGAAATGTCTGTTCTCTATATATACAAAAGACAAGCACACAGCCTATGGGCTTCCAGGAAGGAATAATCGTGTAAGTCAAAATACCCCAAGTCCTTCCTCTAATCTGCTCTATCCCTTTTATCTGGGGATTCGGAGCAGAGCGAGCAGAAAGTGCTTGAGAGAGACACAGAGATGCTGCGTGTGCTGTGTGATTAACAGACTCAAACCCATCCGGACAGTAGCTAGAACAGATAGAGCAGAAGATGTGCGCTCTGGGCTTGTGTGCTTTTGCATCCGGCCGTGTGTTTCAGGTTTATGCGCTGGTGCTGTGCTGCTTTCCATTGATTTGCAGCACCTGTCCTGCTCAATGCAGCTGCTTCTACCACAAACTGAGCGACGGATCGAAGTCGAGGTGAGATTTCACATGTACTGTCATTTACCTAAATGAAACCATCCTGTAGAAAAGTCTCATATGGACCGTTGTCTACAGAATATTGACAGGCCAGATTGACTGTGCTCTTTATTTAGTCGTTGGATTAACGTGTGTGTGATTTTTAATCTTCTCTGCTTGTTAGTTGCAATGTTTCAGACACACACACACACACACACACACACAAACACAGTAAAGATAATAAACTACAATTAAAGAAAATTCAGAAATGAAAGCTAGTCAAAGAGAACTTTATCATAGCACTATATTGTAGCAATGTTGAGTACGATAATCTCAAAGTGGAGTTTTCTTACTTGACTGGCATTATCAAATATCTCAACAAAAGGAGACTGTGCTTGACCCGTGTGATGTGTTTTTATAGGAGCGTCCTGTGTAACGACCCTGACCTCACCATCATCCCAAACAACTTTCCCTCGGACACCTCCAAACTCCGCATCGAGAAAACCGCCATCAGCCGTGTCGCCAGCGAATCCTTTCATTACCTCAGCAGCCTGGAGTACCTCTGGATATCCTTCAACTCACTCTCCTCCCTCAGCACAGACAGTTTCCGAGGACTTTACGCCTTGGACGAATTACGGATGGATGGGAATGTTCTCACTTCCTTTCCTTGGGAATGTTTGATGGACATGCCTAACCTTCGGCTCCTGGATTTGCACAATAATAAAATCAGCAGCATCCCAGTTGAAGCAACCATTTACATCAAAAACTTGACCTACCTGGATCTGTCCAGCAACAGTCTGGCCACCGTTCCAGCAGAGGTTCTTACTTCATGGTTCTCTCCGAAACCTCCTCGGGATGCAGAGAATTCCAAAATGATATTAGGTGAGTTAGTTTCTGCTCTTAAACCATTTCAGTTCTGTTGTAAAGTCTTAGTCATTGACAAATGAAGAAACGTTGACAAAAGCGTCTGTTCTTTGTGCAGGTCTCCACGACAATCCCTGGCAGTGTGACTGTCGTCTCTTTGATTTGGTGCAGTTCCAGAAGTTCCCTTCCTCCTCTGTGGCGTTCATCGATACGTGTCTGCGCTGTGCAGAACCGGAGAGCCTGTCGGGAGTCCTGTTCCCTGATGCTGAGCTCCGCAAGTGTCAGGTTCCCCGCGTGCACACGGCCGTTGCGAGGATACGCAGCTCCATCGGAAACAACGTCCTGCTGCGCTGCGGGACCATCGGCGTTCCCATCCCTGAGCTGTCCTGGACCCGAGCCGACGGCAAGCCCATGAATGGCACCGGTACGTGTGATGTTTGCATCTCATCTCATGTCTCCCTTGGTGTATTGCTACTGTTAAATAAAGCATCCAGGCATGGTTAATGCATCTGTTAAATAAATGGAATCTGTTGCTTGTGTATTAAGAGAGCAGCAAATATATAAATAAAGCATGCAGGCGAAATTTGATGTAATTACTGTTATGTCTAACTGTACTGCACAGTTAGATGCAAAATGCAACTTTAGAACTTATATTAAAGTGAGTGTTTTTTGTTTGATCTTGTAGTTCAACAGGAAATCTCTAAAGAGGGCATCATCTGGTCCATTCTCAGCGTTCCTGCCGTTTCGTACAGAGATTCAGGGAAATACGTTTGCAGAGCCACTAACTTTGTCGGGAGTGCCGATGCCATTATCTCACTTGTCATTTCTGATACGTGGCAAATCGACGAAGCGGTCGCCAAGAGAAGTCACGGAAAGAAGAAAGCTGGATACGGCCGAGCGGCGTATCAAGAGAAACTCATCGCCAGATACGTGCCGCCAGCCACAGCAGCTGCTGTGCCCATCATTGAGCCCCTAAACGGACCCAAAGCCACGTCATCCATCCAGATCGAAAGCTACAGCATTTCTGACGGTGTTTCCAAAGCGAAGGCCACAGCAGCACCTGCAGCAGCCGCAGGAATGGACAGCGGCATGGCGGAGCTTCAGAAAGACATCTTGAGTAACCTGGAAGCTAATGCATCTTCTCTGCAGCAGGGTCCGGAGCGCAGAGTGGTTCGGTCGGTCAAAGTGATCGGTGACACGGACCACACGGTCTCGCTGAATTGGCGCGCACCCGCCGCCACCAACACCACGTCCTTCAGCGTTCTGTACGCCGTCTTCGGAGAGCGGGACATGCGTCGGATTAATGTTGCCCCGGGCAAGAATCGCATCACGATCGGAGGCCTCGTGCCCAAAACCAAGTACATAGCCTGTGTGTGTGTGAAGGGCCTCGTCCCCAAGAAAGAGCAGTGTGTGATTTTCTCCACGGACGAGGCGGCCAGCGCCAGCGGCACACAGAAGCTCATTAACGTGGTGGTGATCACAGTCGCCTGCGTGATCGCGGTTCCTCTGACGCTCATCGTCTGCTGCGGGGCACTAAAGAGGAGGCTGCAGAAACTGATGGGCCGGAAGTCCAAAGACATTCAAGACTCGTACGTGACGTTTGAGACTCTGTCTCCAGGCACCAAAGCCAAAGGGCTGGAGGGGGAATATCTCAGCAGACTCAACCCAGACGAGTCCAACCGGCTGCTGTCGGCCCGCTCTAGTGTGTACTCTGAGGCCACGGCCAGAACCGAGGGCCAGCCCAACGAGTACTTCTGCTGACCGACCGGCGGCGTTTCAGACGACTCTGTGCCTAGGGCACCCTTGGTATGGGCAGGATTACCCTTTTAATGTGTCGAAAGCTTCAATACATATCAGCTTTGTCCTTTCTCAGCCCTGAAAGGGTACAAACCACCTTAGAGAAAGTCCGGTGTTCAAAAAGGGAAAATTATCACACAAGAGTGAAATAATAATGTCTGTATTTTTTATTTTTGTCATGCACTTTTCCAA